CATTATTTTCGGCTTGCATGGAAAACGATTGTTGCAGTTGTTTGTTATTTGATGTAGCGAATTATAAATAATGTGGAATATGTAGAATCTATCAGATTTTTTTGGGATTATATAATATATTTGGAATGTCAAAATGATTAGTAATTTAATAGTAAATACATTATTACCTGGTTTGAGCCAAACCACACAGGTCCTTTCGAATGGAAAAATGGATATCCAAACTTGTCAGTGAGAATGTAGATTCCCCGGTCTTTTTTTTTGCAAGGTGGATGGATCGTTGAACTAAATATATGAAACTGGCCAAATAGGATGGAACATTATCTATAACATGGAACAATTGATTTGATCGATCTTCAAGGGATTATCCGAGGAATCTTTGTTTTGCATTTGGAGCTCATGAATTTGATTTGGGGATTGCAATGCTTGATTGAATAATATGTAATGGATCTTACTTTGTTACATATTCAAAGGATTTGGTCAGTTATTATCTTGTCAAATCTAAATGATTGTTGGCCGGTTTTTACTTAAAACTAGAAGAACTAGATGTGAAAATTAGTTTCTTTCTATTTTTGGTTTTTGAACCGCCCAATTTGAATGTTAAAACAAATTTTCACGCTCGTACTAGAAATTAGATCGTCTTTCCTATAAATACTTTTGTGCTTTTCCAATTAGTTGCTACTGCAAACTTGTTTGAACATAGTTCATCGTGCTAGATTTCATGGATTATAAATGCGTTTATTGCAAAAAAAAGCTTGTCTTTTTGTTTATTCCAAATATTAGTTGACCCTATGTGTCAAGGGCAAAGTCCAGAACCGTAAGAAATTGTTAAATTGCAATTTCATTTCCTTCATTGTTTTTTTTTTTTTTTGGCTAAATGACTTGGAGAATATTGTTTATATGACTTGGAGAATATTTTATAAAGACTTATTTTTTCTTCGTTTTTTATGACTTAGAAAATATTGTTTACGACTTCAATTTTCTTAATTGTTAATGATGACTTGGGATTGGGGAATATTAGAGTTGACTAATAACCTAATATCTCAAATTTTAGTGTATTAGATTACATATTTTATGTTAAAGAACATAATTTGAGAATTTTAAAGAATTTTTAGATAGTTATGGATCCGAAAACCCACAACTAAGAATATGATATTAAATTAAAAAAAATTTAGGGTTAAATCTTCGTATGAATTTTAGATAAATAAAGATTAGAAATAACAAAAGAGATTTGTATTAATATATTCGAACGAATCAATATCAATACAAAGGATTGAATGAATTGATCTCAAAGTAACAGAATACAGTTCGTAGTATATAGCTCTACGTGATTCTCTAGGGTAGAAATGATTAATAATGGACTTAGCCTCCGAGAGGCCAACTTTCCTCCTTTTATAGCACGTATTTTAGGTTCAACCGCTCATGTATCTTCACTGCGCATTCTCTTCACGGTCCTGGATTCTCAGCGTACGCTCCGAGATCTCCGCTTGACTTGGTCTCCCTTTATCCACATGCTTCATTTCAGCTCGCAGCTGGCAACGTATTCTTCCAACTGCTCACGAAGGCTTCTCTAACAAATCCTGCCCAATGGGCCCTATTTATCGCTGTTGGGCCTCTTTTTGGGCTGTATTTGTGGTGTAACATACAACACCAACAATAATTTACGTGGTTTTATTACTTTAAAAATATAGGTCATGTTCATGTATTTTGGTTGACGAAAATTTTCCTTAACTGTTTTTTTTTTTAACTAAGTTGCCTTATTTGTAGAGTTAATTAGTAGAATATTACTTTTGGGGAAGAAAATTAGGTAAGTAACAAGTCCA